GGAGAGGAGAAGTGCTTAGACCACACAGGGCAGAAAAAGAGCATAAATTTGACAGAAACACTAAGCACAACAACCGAAGGCCTCAACTATGTTTCACTCTCTTCAGTCCAGGCTCTCCTCAGTGGCGCTTTCAAACATTCAGTTTCACAAAAAAGCATTTTCATCAATATCAAGCCAGAGGGTAATGCAAATGAAGTCAAAATATCCAATGAAAATAAACAATAGCAAGATGCAGATCAATAAATTGTCCCAAGTCTGGACTAATTCACTGTATTGTGTTGCATGTTTGGGTTTTTTCCATTCAGTTCCAAGCAATCTTGGTTTTCAGCTTTACACTTTCTTATTTTTGTAGATTATTTTTATTAATCACCAACTACAATGCTCTAAATTAATCCAAAATGTTCAAAGACCTCAAACATGAACATTTAAGAAAGTCAAAAGGAAGCTTGGCTTTTTTAAGAGAATATCTATATGCACTCAATAATTGGGCAACTATTACTGTGCAAAATTATTACACCATTAAATTAAAAACACGTTCAGTTTCATTTGCAATGTAGACAGAAGAAAATGGGTCTCTGCTTTGACTGCAGGTGGTTTGGTGCAAGACAAAACCTGCTGCTTCTTCTGGACAGTTACTGCAGAGTCATTGGTACTTTACGTGGTGTTACAAAAGTCTCCAGAAAAACATCACTACATCTGTCAATATAGGTGCTTTTTAGGAAAATTGTTTATAGAGGGCTATGAAAAGTCACTAAATACACCAGCAAAGTTGCTAAAGTGGCAACAGTAACACTCATCCCCAAACTTGTGTATCTTGATACTGCCTACTTTGGTGGAGTAAATTGTCTGGGGACAGGGTCTTGCTTTCACCGGGGGTTTAGTTACACTTTAATTGCAGTAACTTTTTTTCTAATTTACAGCTCAATTCAACACAAAAAGTCCCTCAAGTCTCGGGGCTTGCTCTGTGAGTCGTAAAGACGCTACGCTTTAACAACTAGTAGATTTAAGGGATCGAGCTTTAGGGTGGTGGACTGCAGTATCCAGTAGGACCTGCAGCTTTTGTGTGATTTTGGCACTGACTAAATTTATTACGTAGACATTAAGGAAGATATGGCACGTCAAGGGGCCCCAAGACTGCCTATTTGCCAACCTGTGGCGTTAATACGTTATAGTTTGGAAGTTTAAATTGTTGCAGCTACTCTGGTTTATGACACTAGCCAGAAAGTGTCATTTCAAGATTCAAACATGCACTGAATGGAAGCAAAACATCACAGATAATATTGTTCACCCTTTTTCCTGAGGAAAAGAGTTTGATCTGTGTCAGTGATTTCATTTCAGTTTTTTCATAGATAAATGAAATAGAATATGCGAAAAGTTTGGCATTAAAATGTCTTTTTTACCCAAGTGTCTTTTTTTCATTTTTCAGAGATGTCAGAGGAATGTGTTGCATTTCCCTCACCAAAGATTTTGTCACAGAGCTGTCCCTTAGTTTAAAAGACACAATTTAAGCAGCTGGTATCCTGAACCGCAGCTTCTTTGAACATTTGGTCAGAACGTTTGGTTTGACTGATTTGAACATCCGCTCTTTATCTTCTCAGCTCTCTTGTACAAACCGTGTGAGATGTTTAATTGATCCTGTCTGTAGGCTGTGAATTCAAATGTCTCACTCAGTTGGGCTGAAAACAAGCACTTTACACCATTAGCTCAAGTGAGTAAAATGGAAGTGATGCCAGACTGTGTTCAGTCTAGCATCAGGCCAACAATGAGATCCAGCATTGTTTAACTTTAATATGTGAAGACTCTTTTGCATGCAGATAACAACAAAAATAATGACCAGGAAAAACGAGAGAGAGAGACTGCAGCAGACTTCTTGAACCACCTCATGCCTCCTACACACTCAGGCCAGTCTTCTGCATCACCGACGCCGAGCCTGTAGTGGGAATGCATCCGACAAGAACAATTTCCTGTTGTGTGCCCAAAAGTGTGAAAGGTCACTTCCTTACATTTTCTACCCCCGATTCCTCAGACGCTGTGCAACATGGAAAGTGAAAGTGAAGAAAGTGAAGGCTCCTACGCTGAACTGCTTTTGAGGGAAAACAATTTAAACTTAATAAAAAGCAATGTCGCAAAAGGAGGGATACATGGAAAGGCTTAATGAGTGTGAAAATAACATGAACATCTCGCTGTGGTCTTTTCAGTCACCAGATCTTGAGCTGAGTGAACACCTGGAAGATGGCCTGGACTCAAACTTAATAAGAGACTGGATGAACAATTATCTGCTTGTTGCATCTTTGCAAATAAGCATCTACACTGTTTCTGTCATGGAGCTCGACATCAACAATCCACTGGAATAGTCTAAAAACCTGTACATCATTTTGCACAAATGTAAACCTTATTTTTAGTTTGTGTACACACACACACACACGCACACACACACACACACACACACACACACACACACACACACACACACACACACACACACACACACATACCCACACACACACACACACACGCACACACACACACACCAGCGTAAAATTGTGAGGTGCAAGAAAATTTATGAGTGACTTTCATCTTCTTTACAGTAAGGTGGAGTCAGGGGCTCACCGGTCCATTGGATGGCTGCAAATAGAAGTGTGTGATTTCATCTCAGCAGAAACCCAGCCGCTCTGTTAGATGCATGAGAGTTTTGAGAGAGAACTTTACTGAACAAACAGCATCACAAAGTCCAAGCAACACACCAGGCAGGTCACTCTTTGACTGTTGAAAAGTCAAAAATATGACTTTTGACTGTTTTCTAAAAGGTCAAAAGGTTCTAAAACAATTTGTCAAGCCTTGTCTTTCTCATGGAGCACTGCTCACGCCATCATCAGAAATCTGAACATGGAAAACAAAAATGGCAAACCTGCTAAACTCCCAAGCCCTGATCACCAGGGAGACCAGTCACACCCAAGAGACTTGCAGGCACAGATTTGGCAAAAGGTACTTTTACAAAGTATAGACTCAGGGAGGTTAAAGCATATCCAGGCCACACTTTTCAGGTTTTTATCTTTAAAACAAAACAAACAAAAGGAAATTCTGTACAAAAAATGGTTTGTGACTCTTTTTTTTTAAGTTGATGGACATGCTTATTTGTAAGAGCATTTAAGTGAAGCGTAAAAGAGTAAAAGGGGATTAGAAATTTACATTTAAAAAAACACAAGTTACTTTTTTAAGAAAAGAAATTTCATCAGTCAAAAGTCAGATTTTTGTCAAAAGCATCACTTTTCTCAACTGTCAGCTAATCACTCAAGTTGACAGTCTTTCCAAATGTGCCTCTTTTTGAAAATACTTCATGCTCTTTTTCATTCTGTCAGGATTTTAAATCTGTTTAAACAGTCAAAGATTCCTGTGCACCGAGGTGCCGAGATTCAAGTGCGTCGCCATTTAAAATTTACATCTCTAACTCTGCCACGGGCCTCCGAACGCAGGAGCCGGGCCGAGGGAGGGACCGGAATTACGAAAGAGGCAGAGAGCACGACACTGGGAAAGTATTTCAGAGCGTTTCATCATTTGGGCTGGAAACCGTCTTGGAGATTAGTTCATCTGAAGAGGAGCGTGTGGGGGGGTGCAGGGGTTCGAGGTGGGATATAAAGGTGGGGTCAGACGCTGAGGTAGGTCCTTCTTCCTCATTAACCTGAACTCGCCTTCTTCCTGGGCTACAGGTGGAAAGATGCAGGACTCTTATCTCTGTCAAGCTGCTATAATTCAATTGAAACTGTGACACAGAGGTGAGAACAATTGATGCCACACATTAGGGAGCCCGCCCCCCCTTATCCCCTTCTCTTTCCTGTCAAGATTAATTACCCCTCATTGGCTGCTTAAACGGCTTTTAAATTATAATCTGCCTGAAATCGCAATAACACCACCAGTAATCGAACAAGAATGGAAAAGCTCGGGATCTGTTTCCATCTGTGGCGAATTAATAATGGTTCATTAGTAATTGCTTTAATTAAAACTTGTCTCCAATAGAAAGGTGAGTGACAAAAGAAACGAGGATTAAAGGCTCCTGGAGAATATGTCTTTTTTTCCTTTAATGTCAAATTAATCGGAGAAATGACACTTAGTGTCATGAAGAGTTCATCAGTCTATTTTAACTGTCATATCAGCTGTCACTCAGTATGAAAGTGAGATTCAAACAGATTTATATTCAGAAATACATTTAGATATTTTTCTTTTTTATTATGCAGGGTCATTAATCAACGTATTCCGACAGGTGAGTTTGCGAAAGCATGCAGAAACACACATAAGTGGCATTTTTACAATCCCTACTAAAGCAAGATTAACCAAAAACACCTTGAGACGGATCAATTGGAGATACTATAGCAGCAAGAGAACTCCCATGAGAATCTATTAAAAACAAACAAAAAACCTTTTAATTATCAAAAACTATCAGAAAACATACAGCATTTAGATCAACAACGCATCAAGTGCAGCCACGCAACACAACAATGAGTGCATAAATAAAGATATTTGAAAACCAAAAGAGCTTTGCAACCCAAATCATAGATGCGAAAGGCAAAGCGGTACCTTCTGCTCACGCACAGCCTCATCCTGGAGACGGAGATAAAAATCCTGCTGGCTCCGAGTCTCGCCAGGGATGGAGGAAACCCCCCCCACCCCTCTACTTCTATGTGGTCTCTGGACTGGCTTACCCAGCCTTCCCTTAAAGCCCAGAGAAAACCCCAACACATGCACAGCTGCCGCCAACACCGCGCCACGCCGCTCCGGCAACAGCAGCAGCTCTATGCCAGAAGGGAAAGGCAGAGTAGGCAGAGAGAAAGAGAGAGAGGGAGACTGTGCAGGAGTGGAAAGACAGAAAGGAAGAGTGGGAGGGAAGAGGCTTAAAGGAAGAAGACAGGGAGAACGCGGGGGCGTGATGATGGAGCGCTGAAAAGATATGAGCAGAAGAGAGGGAGGGAGAGAGAGAGAGGGTGATGGAGGGAGAAGAACCTTACCTGATCGGGTCTATGTTGTTCATCTCCTCGTCAAGCAGCTAAAGGAAATGACAGCATGTTAGTGGAGGAGACCCATCAGAACTGGTCCAAGAGCTGCCTAGTAGGGCACCTCTGCAGCCCACGCACTTTACCAAAAGACAAACCAACGTACATATTCAGCAGACACATTCCCTCAGTTTCCTCCTCTGTTTTTGTTTATGGACCCCCCCAACCCCCAGCCTTGCTTTCCCCTTAAATCCCACGCTGTTCTTTCCCTCTCTTAAATGATCCCTCTCCACTTCCCCCTCCACTCCTGCTCGTCAAAAAAACTCATCAGACTGCACCCGGATGTCTACATCTGCGCACGCTTGAGGTGAGAAGCGAACAATCATATCATAACCAAGAGTGTGAAAATGAGAGGAAGGAAAGGAGGGATGGGGAGGGAGAGTGTGGGACCCTCCATTGCAGCCAGACTGCAGATACATGGCTACACTCACCACCACCCTCTCAGTGTACTTCTGGCAGTAACTCAGTATCCCTGTCAGAGAGGGAGCAGGGACAGACAGAGAGGAGAAGAGGACGTGTAGAGAGACAGAAAAAGAGAAGGGAGACGGGGGGAACAGGTGGTTCAATCTGTTGAATTTTACATCTCCGGCTTCAGGCTGTTGGGAAAATGTATTTTATTATAGGTTCCTACAGGTGATTCTTCTATAGGGGACATATTGAATAAAAGTTGAATATTCTCTACAACCTGTGATTTAAAGAAGTTTGGGTCACAGTTTTTAGAGCTATACTTCCTGGACCAGTGGCTGGATGTGAAGCTGGAGCACAACATCTGAATATGAAGTCCAGAGCCAAGCTGAATTGTTTTTATAAAAAATGCTTAATACAAATATTTTTAATGCACCTAAAAAAAAACAACTAGATCATATATAAAAATATATTAAAAAAACAAACAATTTTCTGATCTATATGTAAAATAATATCCATGTTTTGAGTTAAAGTACTTCTGAGTTTTGACATGTGCATGCAACATTTTGTGAGAGAGTTGACATTTTATTTTATGACCAGCTCCACAGCATAATGTCATCTGCACCAACAGTGCTGGCCTGAATCCTTTGTTCTTTTCTTATTTCCAAGAGTTTGCTGTAAAACATCATTATTAATCTTTCTAGCAAAGTTAATATTAAAGGGGGTATTATGTCACTACTCCCTCAAACCACCATAAAAGCTCCTCCGGTGACAGACTGAGCACAAAGAAGCGTTGTCGCAGATCCGTTGTCACAGCAGCTGTAAGACTTTCTAATCCTCACTGCTACTAAAAGAGAAACTCAAAGTGTTTACATTCCTGCTGTTATTTGCACAGTCTTTTTTTTTTTTTTCTTGTAAATAGTCTGTAGCTGTTTTCTGTGCACAAATATATGTGCCTTGCACATTTTTTGAATTACCCCACTCAGTTGCATATTTCTTTGGTTCTGAGTATGCTATTTTTAATAACTGTGTCACATCATCTTTCTGTTGTAAATGCAACCTTAATGCGCAGCTTCTAGCTTTAGTTTTACTCTAGTTTGACTATGCATGCTTCTATTTACCTAACTGGCTTCTGGTACAACTGAACTTCCCCATAGATAGTTCCGTGCCACTCTTTTCTCATTGTCAGAGTACATTTGTTAGTGGAACAGTAGGAGAGGGTTTCACATTCACAAAAGCAACAGTTTCAAACAGCTTATTTGTTCTTCACAGAGAAAACTCATCGGAAACACAGAGTGAGTGCACAACAGAAGGTCAGACGCCTGCGGAAAACGTTTCATTAGCACATTTGCACAAGTACAAGGACTTCTGCGAGGAGATAAAAGTTTGCAGCGACACAAATACTCACACACAGGCTCGCAAGCCTGCCTCGCAGCCCCCACAACACCCACCTTTTTTTTTCCAAAGCAGTTGCTAAGGTGACGGCAAAGGCTGAATTTTAATCAGAAAATAAATTAAGGCAATGCGATCGTCTTCCTTTATTATTAAATGGCAGTGGAGCCGATTCGGACAATCCTGTCAGGTGTGTTTAGGGTTAATGCAGAAACATTGGCGGGGCTGCACATCAGGCGGGGCGATGCTTTACCTCGTCCAGGGAGCGATATCTGAGCGGAACCGCACACTTCTGTGCTTACCAGTGAGTGAAGCAATTTGCATTCTGAAGCAAGGAAGCTGAAGCCAAATGGATTATCATTTACCACTAGGGTGAATGTCACACTGAGACTTCAAATACACTCACTTTTATTACAGTAACTGCTGATTGAGCCTTCAGGCCTCTCGCCGTGTAAACAGCTCGAAGACTGAAGAAACACCGGCTGCTTTTGAAGGAAGCCTCTGGGCTGCCACAGCCCTTGAGCAAGGTTACATCTTCAGCAGAGCAGATGATGGATATCACAAAATAAACAGGAGCGAGTGGGCTGAGTTGGTGGAGGAGCGCATTGTTCTGTTCAGATTGCTTTGTGTGGAGAGTTCGAATGAGCTCCTCCATAGAACGATTTAATGGTCAGCACTGAGCAGCTTTGTCTCCATCTCACGTCCACATCATCTGCCTCACCTGGTTGACCAGCTGAGCTGCAGAGGAGCTTGATATCTAATATTAACTGTACCTGTTTACTATTATTTTAGCAAAATTTATATCTGACTATGTTTCTGCAGACAGATGGAAACACAACACCGACATATAGATGGTTTCAAACACTTTTAAACTGAAACTTGCCCTTTTTTGTACTTGCATGGGAATTTTTAAATTATTTACAGCATTCTTGTGTAATGTTTCTTCAGGTTTTCTGAAAAAATATATATCTCTATTTATATTTTTGGGCAGATTTTCACAAATTTTATGCCCAGTGTGTGACCAAAGAACGCTATAATTGTTGGATGAGACTTTTACCTATGTAAAGAAATGATGTTATAAAAACATATGCAGAACTTCATTAGTTTAATACAAGCAAATCTAACAGTATGCAAGGATTGTTTTATGTTTTAACATTAGAAGTATAGTCAATTTGTTTTCCTACCAAATTAGAAGTAAACAAATGGTTAATAACTGTTAATCCAATAAGAAACCTAAAAGTCCTGATCCTGCTTATTTTGAGAGCAAATTCACTTGTCTTTCAAATTTTAATAAAAGTCAAGAAGAAATATGTATCTGTGCCTCATTTTATTTGCAAGAATTAGAAGCATTTTGTCAAGAACTGAGAGAAATGTATTCAAATGTCAGATTTTCAGTGCAGTTCTGCAACTTTAAAAGAAATATTAAAGTAACTTTTCCTCACACACCCTTTAGAAAGAGTGTGCAAAGCAAACTCTAAATGACTGCTTTGCAGAAGTTATTTAGATTAACTCTTTCAAAGCAGTTTTAATAATTCAAATATATGAAACCCTTTTAATGGATTTACAGATCCATTTTCTACAAAAGTCTGACTACACTGTAATTTTCTTATAACGTTTCATTTTAGTTCATTGTCTGGCAGCTACTGTATATATTAAAAAAAATACTATATCACAATGTTTGACTCATGAAACTGACATATTAAGGCAAAGACCAAGTCAACACCATAAGTGTCACTTTTTCTTTCTAAGCAGTTTAAAAGAAAGCACTTTGCTTCTGCAAGACGGCTGCTTTTCATCCTGTTTTTATGAAACAATGTTTCGGTGTGAATAAGCTTAGCAGCACATGCATCACATTAAAGATAATGTCTTTTATGTCCAGAGAGAGTACTGAATCATAATGCTGCAATTAAATGCATTTGTCATTTAGATATTCAATTTTGGAAATGAATCAAAAGTTAGTGTACATAAAACCTAACGAGAACAGTGTAAGGTCCTTTCACATCCATGAAGATTTTAAGATTATTATATTTTTTTACTCTCACACGTACTAGGGCAGTTTTCATTTTCGTCAAGAATCTGCTATTGGCAAGAAAGGCAATAATGAAAGCTTCAAAAAACAAACTATCCAAAGTGCCGAACAGCAGAAGAGAGAGGCCCTATTAGCAGCTGCACAGAACTATTAATTAAACGATGTGTTGAAGATTGAAAACAGAACTCAACTCAAAGCAAAACAAATCAAAGACTAATGCTTGTTTGTGGGGCAGCAAAATAAAAAATGAAAAAAGGTGTTTGTGAGTTGATGACAGTTTATTTTTGCATTACACCTTTAAGTGGTGTAATGTAAAACTTGCTAACGTCCTTCTAAAAACTCTGCTGTGTAATAATAACTTCAGGCCAAAGCAGCACATAGAGCTCCAAAATTATAATTTAGTAATAAAACAAAATCTATAGAACTGCATGTATTCCAAATTCTTACACAAATATAACTAAAAAAAAAAACTTTTAAACTCCAGAATAAAATCCAGTGAAAACTGCTGAGGAATAGCAGACTAGACAGCCATTGGTCACGCAATTCACAAATTTGACCTTTCTGCTAATGAAGCAAGAAGAAAGACATTGTTAAGCGAAAGCTATGAGAAACCATGCTTGCAATTTGCCACAAACCTTGAAGAAAAGCTGCAAAAGACTTCAGACTGGGAACGTCAGACAGACAGTGCTACAATTCAATGTTTTAGTTCAAGAATATTCATGTTAAAATAGCCTCACAGTACAGATCTATATTAAAATGAGAACTATGGACAAGTCTTGAATAATTCTTCTGTGACACACTGACTTTGAAGTCTGCTCTTCTTTCCCTAAAATGTCCTTTTTGTTAGTCTGACACACAAAATCCTATCATCTGCACTTATGTTTGAAGCTTAAAACTCAACATGGGAACAAATTCAAAGGGATAAACAAAGGTTCTTGTTTATCTCCCACATTTGCAAGACAATGTGGGGGACAATAAACTATGCTCAGTTATGCAAACTTAAAAAAGCAGCACTGTAATTATCTCCATTATAATTTCATATTTATTTGTTTTACTAATTTATTGTTTAATTTATTTGCCTCTTGCTCTGTTGCAGGCTGTGTTATGTGCTCTGTGCATTTTGCTATGTATTATTCCAAGCTTTATATTAGAGCAGAGGAACCCCATAAAAATGAAGAATGGCCACTTTGTGTCATTAAAAGTGTTAATTAATTCAGACATCACTTTAAACTTCATGAGAAACAATTTCCTCTGCTAATGACATGTTCAGAGGCCTTCCCTTCATTAAAGACTGGGATGAGTTTCATCACTCACCATGTTGATGCCCCTGGGCAGAGAGACAGATCTGTAGGGGCATCTCGGGAAGTCGTGACGAAGCTCCAGAACAGGAATCTTCATTTTATACCCTTGACAAAACTCCGGAGGAGGCGGAAACAAAGTTTTATCATCGATCACCAGCAGAGGTGGTGACTCTGCTTTCATCTCCAGGTTCTGGGGCCCGTCGTCCCTCCGGACAGAGTCGATGTCCGTCTCCAGATACATTTTCTGTGATGAGTCGAGGGAAGTCTCATCTTCTGAGGTTTTCTGCTCAGCTAAAGGGTTTTGCTTCTGGGCCATTGATCGGGGCAGCCTGGGGCTCAGCACTTGCTTCCGGTTTTCGGGCAGATTTGGGAATATGGGGATGACTCCAGATGGAGGCACTAGTTTCCCAAATGCCTGCAGGTTGTTTCGGTTCAGCACGTTGGACGTTACCTCATCCAGGAACTGTGAAAACTTCCGCTTGGCTTTGATCCTCTCCGTCAGCACCGTCTCTGATTTCACAGTTTGTGTACACCCCCTCCCAAGGTGTAGTTCTTTGTGGCAGCAGCCCTCTCCCTCCTCTGCCTGTGGACGATCTGTTCCACTGGATGGAGCTACAGTAAACTCTCTCCACCCTCTCTCCCCTCTGAGTCGAGCTTGAAAAGCCTCCTGGCTCTGTCTCTTGATGGAGCTGTGCAGCAGGCAGGTAACTCCTGAGCTCCAGCTGTGCAGACTGCATGTGTCCTCACTGCTGCTGCTGCATGCTGGACTGCTGCTGGGGCTTGACGACCGGCTGGTAGAGAACTGGTTGGATGACTGACCTATCACGTCTTCCACAAAAACCCGATCATCACTGAACATTGTGCTAGAAGAGGCCCAGGATTGCTGTGACTCCTGGTCCAGCTTAGCCATGACTCCCTGGCAGTCTGTGACTGGTTCCATGCATTAGCTCAACTGTGGTCTTAACTGATGCATCCTCTATTTAAGTCTAACAATCAGGTGACACACGGTTCAGTGGATTGCTCGAATTGTAGAGTTCTACCCTAATCTGGTTTCACTATTGTGCAAGCCTGACCTAAAAGTGGCCCAATGCATTTCACTCTAGGCTGAACAGATGGCATCCTTCAGTGCCAGGCCAACCCCCTGCTATCTCAGGCAAGGACAGTCATATTTTTAAGCCCCTGCTAAACAAAATGAAAGCCGAAGTTCAGAAGAAGTTTCAGGTTATCTTATCTTGAGCATCCATACAATTTTTTTCCAAGTGAGCAGTGCTACTTTTAATTAGACTGTTTATTGATAGAATGAACAAACCCTTTTCAGCTTTTTCCAGGTCAGTGAACCTAGACAAGCATTGATCCTACAGTGCACATGGCATCAGACACGCATATATGCACACAGACTAATGGAAAGGCTCATTGAGTCATAGAGTGCCCTCATCAATATCTCTCATTGATAATAATAATAATAATAATAATAATAATAATAATAATAATAATAATAATAATAATAATAAAAATGTCCCTGGGAATCATTTTTAAGATTTGCGTCATGATGTTCTTTGGATGCAAAAGCAATTTAACTTCAGTTTTATGGTTGCACTATTGTAGTTTATTAGTTACACTATGTGTTAAGAAACAGAGCATAAAACATAGAGGAGCTGCTCTCAACACAATTCTCAATCAGCAGATTAAAAGAAACAAAAATAAAAAATAGAGCTATAATAATAATAACAACAACAAAGGAGAGAACTTACAAATAGGATCTCTAGAAGTACAAGAGAGCCAGCAGGAGAAATAGACAGAGGAATGGGAGAAAGCAGCATTAAATTGAGAATGACTGGATTCAGGCGAGGAAATCAGGTGACTGGGAAAAGATGTGGAAGGAACAAAAACTGGCAGGCCTTGGGAGGGTGACTGATTAACACCAATGGGTTGCACTGACACTCAAAGAAACGGCAAAATGAGAGGGAAAGAACAAAACTGATCTAAAAGAACTAAAACACGATTAGAACATAAGAATAAACAGGAAGACTGAACACAAAGACATGAGCAGATACGGCAACACTTTGTGAACAATAATAAATCCAGAGGAACAGAATAAGGAAAAATCTAATGAATGTAATAAAAACACAAACAAAAAAACAAAAATTAAACATTAAAAATGAAACATCCTGTTATAAATATTTGCATTAAGTGTTGTGCAAACAACTATCACAACTGTTATCTCATATCCATGCCATAACTACAAAATATTTGTATGAAACTTAGAGTGCAGCCTCAATAACAGGCTCAATTAGAAAGAAGACAATGATTTAGATAATAGTAAAAGAAGTGTTGAACAACATAACATTACGCTTTGCTGCCCAGCGTCTCCATTCTATCCTCCCCATGTCATAAATTTGTTTGTGAAAGATCCAAAAGCAGAAAGGGGGCAAGATGCAGTCAACAGAAGTCTTCACTGGCAGTGAATAAACTCCCTTCCTAAATGAGATCTCAGGTTGAACACAGGGAACATTACCTAAACAAACAGCAGCATGATGGAAGGACCTAGAAAAAGCTGAAAGGGAGTATGTATAAAAAGAGGTGTGATTGCAAAATAGGAACCAGCAGCTGCAAGAAGCAGGAGTCTAAATGCTGAGTGAAACCGAAGGAGCAGCACAGAATGAGTTCAGGGGGAAGTGTGTGTTTGCTGTGATGCCAATGAAGTTTTTATTATTATTACTATTATTATTATTAATTAGAACGGAATAATTACTTTTCAACATCCATTGATTGTGTCTACCTACTTATCCATGTAAGGTAATTTGGCGAGAGGTGGGATACATCCCTGGTTAATATGACAGCACAAGACATGTAACACACACAGCTGTGCACACACTTTCTCACTCCTATCATTTAGCCATTCAACTCAACAGTCATGTTTTTGGGCAATAGAAGGAAGCAGAGGACGATCTGGAGAGTTCTCATGCGTGCACAGTGAAAAAAATTCAAGAATAACAGCAGCAAGTTAAAGGTAACTGGAGAAATAAGAAGTGTGCAACTGAGCAGGATAATTAAAAGAAAGACCATTTCTTTTAAAAAGTATATTATTTTTCTAATGGGGACATTGTTTATGTTATTTTAATTTCTTCTGATAAATATCTATCTCTTTTCCTGTAGAAGAAACATTTCTTGACGAAGAATAAATAAATAATTAAATCTGCCAGGAATATGAATCATTTTGGATTTCGCTAAATTTGAACTGACTGTGATGCTGAAAAATGAAGTTCCTCTTCATGTTAAGCTTTCCAGAAGACAGGTGATGGTGTTAAGCCAAAACAGACTGTTTTTTCAATCAATAACTTTGTCCATCTTGAACCAAACCTCGCTTGACAGAGAAAGAATCCCCAGAGTATGTTGCTGCCACCACCATTTATCAAATTGTTCTTTCAGTAAGGTTCAGTGTAATGAGTGTGCCTACTAGTTAATGGAACTATGGGCACAAGTTTAAGTTATATTTGATAAAATCATAAGACATTTTCCCTCAATGGGATCTTTGCCAGTCCTGGATGTTTTCTTTGAAAGAAATAAATTTAATCTGGCAGCCATTCTTGTTTGTCTGGACAAATCAGAAATACAGGAGCTTTTTGTCACATAATTGCTTCTTCGGAGTCACTCTCAGCATCCCTATTGTCTCTCTAACCAGTTTCATTCTCACCTTTTGATCAGTATTGAAGAAATGTCTGGTTTTACTAACATCAATCCGGTCCAATATTTTCCCCAAATATTGATGACAGCCCTCAATATGGCACCCACTGTACACTGCTGTGGAAATTATCCTCTTCTCCTGATTGATAGATTTTAACAGTAATGTCATTTTTTTATCCTTTACAGCTTTTGCTGAAATATGCTAATGAGAAAATTAATGAGGTATTTGATGAAAGTCCTGCAAGGACAGCAGAATTTTAATTTGGGTTAATCAAATTTGCTATAATTGATTGGGGGTGTGAACTCAAGACTGAAACTGAATCAAAAAGTGATTCAGTAAAGTGTTAGGTTAGGAGTGTGCATATTTATGCAACAGGGGTTTTTGAACAGTTCTATTTTTAATCTTCTTTTTGCTCCAATACATGTGTTTACTATAATTGTACAGGATTGCATTATACAGTATGAGGGAAAATATTTATCAAAGACTGTTTTTTTTTTTTACATCCCATGAAATGGATATTTTAACACATTTATTAGAACCGCAATAAATCTGATGTTTTAAAAGAAATAATATTTAAATACAATATTAGCTTCACAGGTAATATTTTAATAACTAATGACAATTTTAGCTTCTACTAATATACCTAATTATGGAATTCCAAATGGTTATCCTCTCATCCTACTGATATGGGTGCTGTAAATTAATGTTCAGACACGCATTGAATGCAGAGTGCATGTTGACTGAGCTTGGAAAGCATGATTACTGTTAGATTTGCTCTACAACATTACATCATATTACCGATCATTCCTCCCAACTCCAAATTCAATCATTTTCTGACTGCTGCGAATCATTCCGAACCATGAAGACAGCTTTTCCTATGATGAAACCTGTATTCATATGGGCATAGTGTCGCTTTAGTGTTCATCAATATTCAGGCGGTTGCATAACTGCATCAATAACACCTCTCTTAGTCTGCCTGCTTGGGAAGAGAGGAGCGAGAGATCGAGATTGGCAAGTGAGCCGTGGCAGTATGGCAGAAATAAAATACCACACACTGAGAGGGATCTGGGGACCCTCAAAGTGAGCCCGCAACTCAAAGTCTATGTTCAATATAATAGGATGGAAATTTAATAAGTTAAACACAAGGGAAAAGAACTCTGTTCCAACTTCTTGGTCTTCTTTAGTGGGTTGATTGTCCAGATGATTATTCTAAAACGTGATGTCTTAATGTTAAATGCCTTCAGATTGTCCTGCTTTCATGCAGACTTTTCCTGAGAGAACGACCTGGATCAGATGGGGACAATGTACCATACAGCACATCGTGCCATGTAGGAGTTGGACTCTTTCGGTCTCCAGGGGTATCATTAGCTCTGCATCCAATATGTGGGGGTTTAAGCCATGGCTCGGGGGCCTGTTGTGCGCATGCGCTGCCCCAGATTGGGCCCCACACCCTGCCTACTGCACCAGTCTGTCCGACTCACCCCTGGGACCTCCCTGTCTGGCACCACGGAGAAGCGCCAAGCCTTCCGCTCACTCATGTCTCTATATCCTTTCCCCTCGTTCCCATCGCTGTTTCTGCTCCTTCTCCCAGCGCGCTGCATTGTGCTCCCATTTTCCACCATTTTCCCTCTTCACAGACAGGGTCGCGCTTCTTTTATGATGAATGTCTTTAATAATCTCTTTTCAATCTCAGGAGGAGGAGAGGGGTGGGAGCCAATTTAGAGGTATCACCCTGACGGGAGAGACTGTCAGCCCGTGGCTGCCCAGAGGTAATGGTGCTGAAATGGATTCCTGCTACAAGCGAAGAGGTGGAGATAATTGGTGATGCTTGCCTGCTTGGTGGTTGCACTTTGCTTTTCCCTCAGAGGCCAGCAGTGTGGCTCCGCGGGCTGGTCTGAACCCAAGCGTGGGCCACGTTCTGCACCTCTAGCTAAAGCTGCAGAGCACACTAAATGCCAAATCGGATCAGCTCCGGCTATAAAGTAGTATGACTGTGTGCTGCTCAGCTGTCAGCTGTTACTATGGCAGAATGTGTCGTCTCTGCTCCCCGGTCTGTCCTCACAGCCTCCTGCTACATGCTGAATGGACAAGAAGGTACACATGGTTCTTCTTAGAAATGAGGAGTCCAGCTGCACAAACGTGTGGTTCGCACATCAGTTTGGAAACTTATTCACTTTTACATTTACATTTTGTCACGTTGCAAACACAAACAGTAATATATTTTT